ACACATTTGCTCACATCTTCCCCAGAATCCTTACCCCTTCTTGAGGCTCAATTCCATGCACAGTAATTGGCTCACTCACTTGAATGTCCTCAACAACCCCCCTCCCCCCCAAGGACATGAGCGCTCTTATCGCTATGTTCCTTCTCATCATTTTCCAACTTAAGTCTTCCTTACCATCACCGCTATCCTCCACGCGTAGGAACGTTATTCGAATAACAGAACTTTGCGAATTTTATTCGCGATTTGCACACTCTTTGACGTATTAAATTCACCGTAGAACCCCGCGAGGAGTTGCCTCATCCAGATCGCCGCGCGATTTGCCGCGTGTCAGCCCGAACGAGCCAAAAGTCTTCGCCTCTTGCCGAGGGCTGCGTTGAGAGCCGAATTCTCTTCTTGCAGGTGAGAACTGCTTGTTCGAGACGTTTGCAATAAATCAAAGGGCTTGTCGAGGTTTTAATTACTCTGTTTCAAATATTAGCTGCTCCACCCTCTTCAAGGGAAAGCGTTGTCCCCATTTTCTTTGGGCTATAAGAAGATTCTAAGAAACAGAAAGCGAGGTAAGAGATACCGAGCGCGCAGAGGGGAAAGGAAACGCTGAAGTGAGAATGGATAAGAGCGAGACGGTCTGGCCTATGACGTCCATTCGCGGGCGGGACCCCGGCTGCCGGGTGGACCACGTGTGAAACCTAAGCCCTCATCGCCTTTGCTTGGCATTTTTGTATGCGAGACCGGTAGGCCGACGTGTTTATGAGTCCCTCAACCTTTTCGCCCCATGGCTTCAACCAAAAAAAAAACTTTTAGCGGTTAGCTGCTTCGCGACCGCATGCGCTTATTCACGGAGTACAGCACGAATTACTATTAGTGTCTGAATGACTGCTATTCCCTGATGCTATGCAATAAACTCCTATGTAAGTGAGAAATCTAGATACCATTTTATTTGGTTTTAGCAAAAAAATATTGTATATTTTTTTTGGAAAAAGAAACTCGCACTCTGCAACCAGTAACCGGAAAAGAATTAAAAAGCAATGATAGTTATGAGGTATATGAGGTATCAACTCTCTAAAGGCTTACTTCAATTCCACAGCAGTGCTATTTAATGGCATTCAAAACAATGTCAGAGTACAAAGAAGCACGGGCCGTAAGACATAGACGCAGAGGATGCGGCATTCCTCCTCTGCGTCTCTTCACTCGACTCTTTTTACACACACTTCTATAACTAATCGTTAACACAAAGAACGTGGTGAGAAATTTCTTCTGGATTCACTTGAGCTTATACTAGATTCAGATTTTACCTACTTTAACAAAATAATAATATTTACAAACAACTGAGCAATGGCAGATGCTAAATGTTAGTAGAATGCAGTCGTAGCGTATCCTGGTAGCTCTCCGGCGCTATGATAAAATGATAAGAAGCAGTTGATGGAGCATAATCGCTGACAAACCCCAGATACGGAATTCACGTGGCAGAAACTCGTCCGTATTATGTGAAATTACCTGCAACAAAAAATACCAGACGTAGTTCGCGAGCGGTTGCGACGCTGCACCCGAAACGTTCACTCATTGTAGCACGCTTTTAAGCCCTACAGGTAGAGAATAAACAAATAAATAAATAAATGAATAAATAAATAATGAACCCTAATTCAGGACAGTTTTTACATTCTTAGCAGAAGGCTTGGCACATTTTTTCTTTCATTTGGGCGTGACAGCTACTCAGACGCTGCTACGCGACCGCACGCTGCACTGGCCAACCAAACCCTGTTGTTTCTTGCATGAAAGTGGGTCACTGCAGAATGATTGCTGCTGCTTTCACATCTTTCTGTGAGCTTTACGTATTCTTAGCGTTACTGCTCACCTTGACCTAAACTTCGCTGGCTCAAAACTGAGAGAAAATTTTTAGCAAATTTTTTTATCAAAAAAAACCAACCGTAAAATTCTTGCTAAAAAACACTGGCAGTGCGTATTCAGCCTTTTTTGACAAAAATCGTGTGTATCCTGTCGATCGGCATAGTTCTTCTAATGGAACGGAAAACAGTGTTTGAACCTGGAACCAAAGCTTCGAGTGAAGGCAAGATTGAGAACTGACTGCTTATTCCCCATTCACTGATATGCGCGCCAAAGCACCCAGCGAAATACCTCCATAGGACGCGCCACGCGCGCAACTTACATCCAGGACCGAATTACCGTTTGAATGTGTGGCTGTCCTATACAACAGAACTGAGGGAAACCGACAGCTAATATCAGGGTATTCAACCTTTCAAACAAATTTGAAACCTGTTGAACGCAGACTTCGACGAGAGAGGGAGGCTTAGTTGGTTCTAAAGAAGAATTCCACGATAAAGTCGAGGTCGAAAAGGGGAAACTCCCCTAGTAGAGGCAGATGGACCCCCTAGCGGTGCAAACCGACAAAGCAGCAAAGGATATGCCCCCGGCCCTACCCGCGGCGCTATCGACGCGGCACGCCCACCAACTGGCTGCTCACTGCCGCAGGTCTCTAGCCGTTTAGCAGAGAGAGCGTTAGCGTTGAAGAGGGCAGCACCGATGAGAGTCGCATCAATGCGGAAATCAACGGACAAGAGGTTTCATTTCTCGGGTTCTGGCCGCTTCTGTTTGTTCTTCATCCCGGCACCACTGACCACCTATACCCTAATTCTAATGAGCTGCCCTCCAATCGTAAACTCGCCTCTAGTCTTGCCTGGACGGGATTTGATCCGTACAGCATGAGCTCCCCCAGCGACATTTTCCTTTGCTTCATCTCTGCCTGCTCAATGTCTCTACCTAAACCCTATTGCTTAGATAAGTGTCAGACTCTGCGATTCGCGGGATCGCATGCGCGATTCGCGAACACAGCCGTGCCTGCAATACCACCCGTATCGCAGTCATCGCCCCCACGAATCACGTCAACAGCACGTGAACCACATGCGAACAGCTCGCGCGTCCAATCACGCGAATCGTCGAGTCTAACACCTGCCTTACCCACATCAGATCATTTCTCGCCAAATTTTGTTGCATTATAATATTTAGAAATAAAATCACCTCTCTTTTATTAACGTGTTCAGTTTTCAAAGCATCGTAAGCAATGCATCCAACGATCGGCACCACCGTTGTGGTCATCGTTCGTGTGAACACCGGCTTCAGACGACCCCATATTTCCACTGATTTCGGCTCCACACCAATTTCTTCGTGAGTTTCTCGGAGAGCCGCCTTAATGAAAGAGTTTTCCGTCATTCAATTTTAAAGACTTTCTTCTTCCAGTATCCCTCAAGTGCCTGTCAAAACAGAGAAAAAAAGAAAAAGAACCGTAAAGGTGTCAAAAGTAACAGGGTCATCAGACGTCGTATCGATTGACAAATATGTTAATATTAGACTGAAAAGGTTTCAAAGAAGCAAATGAAGTGCATTCTGAACTTGAATGTTTTGTCACGAAAGGGAGATAAAATTCGGGTAAAACTGTACGTGCCGAGATTTTTACTGATTGGTCCAGAACTTTTTATTTATGGCCTGGAAAACGTGCGAGAAGTACATTCTTGTGTAATAATTCGCAGCTTCAACTTCAACATCAACTTTGCCGCGACTAACGGTAGTTATTTGTTTTATTTACTTATTTACCTATTATTTATGTTACTTATTTTACTTTATTTACCTTCTGCGTAGACGTGCACTGAATCCCGTATTATAAATAGCAATGCAGTTATAAAAGGAGAAAGAGTAAGGCTGATGCCAGAGGAAGCAGGTAGTACCGATACGAGTAAAAGACAACGTTGAAGCAAGGTGAGTAGCTGTCGGGAAATTCCTCCACTATGCCTCTGTATTGTGCGAGGTAGTGCCGAGAGTGAACGTACGCACAGAGAGCAATGGCGGCTCGCGCGCAGCGAGTGTGAATGTCGGCGCGGGAGGGCGTAACTGATCAGGCGAAAGTTGCTCGACAAGCCGTTGTGAAATCCACGACCTATATTCACCTTGCCTAGTAGTGAAGATTCTCGAGAAAAACACGTCATAGGGAATGACTCTCAGGGGATGGGAAGGCCTAACCCATAACCAGACTCAACTGGCACAATATCATGTTACTGACAGAATTTCCGCGCTATAATAGGGGTTTTCTTATCCGAATGAACATTTCACTGGTGAAGACAGATTTGTGCTTACTCCAACTATGAAAATCAATAGAATTTTTTTGAAATGAAGTCGCGCCTACCTCTTCAGCAGATTCCCCGTCCTCCATTCTACCACCTGGGAAGCAAACCTCACCGCGATGACTTTTCAGATGAATGGAACGTTTGGTGAACAGCACAGATGGCGTTGATTTCACATCCAGTAGAGGGATTAGGACCTGTGTCGATACAGTTAGACAGTCGTATTTCATCGTGAATAACCAGCAACATTAAAATGAGATTCCTCCAATCCTGACCGACATATTCGACGGCGCTTTCGACAGCCGCGGGTGCATCGGTATCGCGTTCTTCTCTGCCAATTTCTAAAAACTCGAATTGATGCCGTGATGGTAAAGCTAGCTTTTAAACTTTTTTTCCGATCGCCAAAATCATGTACTCGGTGCTTCATGGACCACCAAACCTCCCACCATCTACCATTCATTTACACCATTGTAGAACCTCCCTCTCCCCCTCCCCTGTCGATTATCCCACGATTTCCAGTCCCTCGTCTTCTCAAAATGCGTCCAAAAAAACGGATACATTCGAAACAAGAAAATTCGAAAATGCGCAGCGTAGTCCTGGCAAATGAAATTCTGCAAACACATTGGATAGTGGAGCTCTGTCTTCCAATGCCTCCTAGATAAAGGACCACGCAGATCATCGATAGCATAAAAACCCCTCGCGGGGGAAAGGATAGTGGCGCGGAGAGCCACAGATTCAACTCCACGCTCGGAAACCCAATTCACGGATAGAGCGCTGCTAGATCAAAAATGCAACATTGCTCCACCCACCGACACGAGGATCCAGCCCGTCTGAACTGTTGTCACTATCGTAGCTGGGCATGCAGTCGACGCGCCGACATGGAGAGCAAATAATTGGCATTCATAGCAATCAGCTTCACAGAGTCTTCGGAGTATCAATGCAGGGAACCGCGCATTTCCGCTTTTCGTCGTACATTGGCATGTTCTATATTAGAATCAACAAAAAGGCGTCTTTTCACTTTAAGCAGTTCCTTCTGCTTTCGTCACTGCTGGAAGACTAAGTGGTCCATCCACTTTCCCTGCCAACCGCAATAACCACATCTGATCGATCCGTGACATTCTTTTAGACATGCCGCTAATATTCACCCTGGAAAACTGATAGTCCCGCCAGTCGTAAGTCTGATAGTACCCCCTGAGCACCCGATTTCAAACACGACGTAATACTCACTCACCTTCACAAACATCTCCTTCGTTAGATTTCCAAAGGTCCTGCATGACTGATGCATGAGACTGCCGAACTTCTGTCGGTGTCATAAAGATTGCACAATTTAATAAACTCACTTTTTCCACTGACAATTATATACTATACCAAACAAGCACTAATAATCTTTGTTATGTTCTACACTTTGCAGAGCCCATCGAGGCAAAACACATTTTCATGAAATGCCGGTCGACGTGCTGATCAATTGATAACCAACGCCACGCCGTTCGCTTTCGTCGCATGCCGTCTTCACTCACTTTCGCTCTCAGGCATGTGATATAGTGATATGTCTGGCACGTAACGTCCTCACGCTGGAGAAAGTGCCGTGGGAAAGCTCACCGCGCGACCAAGTCACGCGAAGGTATCTCTGGCCAGCGCTGTGAGCGCTCAAAATTCCACGATAAGGGCTGAGGTTGAAGGAGGGGAATTGTACCTAGTCGAAAGACAAGCGGCTCCCAAGGGTGCGGGACGATGCGCGTTTCGCAGCGAAGAGTATGCCCCTAGCGGCATAACAGGATCGTACCCGCGCTTCTCGTGCCACTGGCCGCCCATCGACTGGCTCACCCTTCGCCGTCGGACTCTTCCCGCAGACTTCACGGCTTTAACAGAGACGTAGAGAAGTGCGCTCCCACTGACGACGTTTTCAGGTTCTGAGTTGTTTTTCTTGATTTCTTTTCTTTATCCCTTCATCACTAACCATCTCTACCTTGAATCTAATGGGCTCCTTTTCATCGTAAACTCCGCCTTCAAAGGCAGATGGCGCGATAAATTAGTCACCATTGGAAAATGGGACTGAGGGGGCAAATAATGCACTGGTGAAGAAAAACACAGGAAAACGGCGTAAAACTAGCCAAATTAAACTCTTATTTAGTCTGCTGACATTTCAGTCGGACAAGATTTTACGACAGATTCAGTCGATGTTGACGTGCTCTTTCTCCTTACCCTGTAACCACAGCCGGTGACTTTTCCCACCATTCACTCAATCGACCAATTATTACAACCGTTGCAATGTGCTTTTGCACCCACAACGTAATCCATCTTTTGGTCATCGCTAGTTACTGAGGAAGAGCCTTTCCCTAGCTCGGAATGGTAGTCAGAGTCGTGCCCAT